ATTAGTCCCTAATGGCGCGCGCAGACGGGGGAGCGCGCCCACGTGTGTCGGGGGAGGGGGGTGGGCACGGAGGGGCTGCTTCTGTCTTCGGGATGGAACTGCACGTAAAGCCTCTTACGAGAGCTCGGGAGACATCTTTTGCTCACTAACCGACGTTGTTCCCCCCCACCATCTCTATTGCCGAAAACTGGAAATAATTAAATTCTTTAAAGGTTTACTTTTAAAACCGTGGCTGGAGTAAACTATGATTCAGGTGTAAATAATTACCAAAGTCATGAAAGCGGCAACAGCTACATGTGGTTTATGCATTGCTGCTTTTTTTTTTTTAATCGTTTGATCATTTTAATCCCGAACTGTTCGCCAAATTCACATATTTGTAGTTTACTGAACTTTGTCGTCTCTCCCCGGACGGGGATGCTGTAGATGAGATTCCAGAGCCGTCCTGCCCTGCCCCGGTGGAGGACCCCGGCTGGAACAAACTGGATGCTCCTCAAGCAGGGGTAACGCTATTAGCCCGGTATTTGGAAAAGCTTTTCGTATCAGGTTAGAAAAGAAACTAGAACTGAATAAAAGGCTCTTCCCGTTTTATAAACGCTACCAGACCTACTCCATTTAGACTCCGGGGAAGAAATGAGTTATTGAAGAAAAGAAATTGTTTAAACACAATAGATCCATGCCCGAATTAAAGCATTCCCTGGGGCAAGACAAGCAGGATTTGGCCCGAGAGCATGGAAATAGAAGTACCCGTTAAGGGAAAACCTCAGAGAAATAGGAGAAACGTGGACGTATAATATACATCATATAAACCGATTTCACCCCCGTTTTCTTCAGCCTAAGTCTGCTTCTTTTATTCTTTTGCCTGCTCTGCAGTTTCAACCCGTTCGCCTCTTCCGAAAGCCATGGTGGAAAAAGGCAGAGAAACGAACCTTTTTTTTCTTGCGCGCGTGGCGTCTCTTTTTTAAATTTTTTTTTTTTTTTTTTTTTTTTTTTTTGCGTAGTAAGACACCACTTGAACATGTTCTGGTGTTGTAAAAGTGTTTTTTATCAGGCCGTAAATCACTGCCCCTCTGACAGTGCAGCCGGAAACGTAAATCACACCGTGGAGCTGGAGTTATGAAAAAGCCGGTTCCCTGTGCTGACTCCCAGGAAGATCGCGGGGCTGCTGGGGTGGGAAGGGAGGAGGAAGCCTTGTTTACTATTTTCCCGCCCCACCAAACAGCCGGCTCCGCGGTGCCTGGGACTTTGATGGGAAAGAATGGACAATGTGCAGAGTCCCTTCCTGCGACACCCGGGCCACCGCCACTTGGGAGGTCCTTTGGCCTAACGCAGCCGCGGCTAACTGCTCCCAACAGGAGGCTCTGCGGATCAGGCAGGGTCACAATTAGACTTCTGCTAAAGGCAAGAGCTATTTTTTTTTTTTTAGGAAAAAAAAAAAAAAGAGGGAAAAAGAGAGAGCGGG